TGGGAGATTCCTCTGCCGAAAGTGACGCTTCCAGCGTGGATTCCGAAGGAGAGTTGCTCGATGACCTGGAGCTCGTGTTGGACCAGTAAGTTTACACCCTTTTTAAATTTCAGGTTTTTATATACAAGTAGACTACCTAATATTTAATCGAACTTATAGGACGTTTTCAAATCATTGGTTGGAGCTAAATATTATGGATTGAGAGGCAGATTATAATAACAATTACGTTAGCTCTTTAATAACCACCACCTATGTGTTTAAATTATTTCAAACCAGTGATTGTTGAGATATATTTTAATTAGTGAAGGGGAAAGAATTGTGACCAATTGAAATACTTTTTAATTTGTATTCACTTTATCTAATGCCCTCATAGACTGCAGTAAATTATTTATATTGCATGTAGATCATGATGTCAACTATGCTGTTGTTAATTTAGTATCTTTCAGGTACAATTTGTATTAATTCTCTTTATGTAGTTACTAGACATTCTTATCTCCTCAATGCAGTAAATTTTTTCTAGACATAGATCATGATATTTACCTATGCTGCTAAAGTAGTAACTTTAAGAAATACAGTTTTAAGTTTGTACTCAAATATAATTAGTATGTGCATTTTAAAACATACCTGTAACTATATTAAAGCTCTTTATTTTGTATTTATTTAGAGATTTTTTTTTTAAATTAGAGCTTTGCTCACTGTGGTTTAGTAGAAATGGAAGATGACAATTTAAAGACTTCCTTCCTCGCATATATATGTATGAAAATAAACAAAACTATTAAATTTAATTTTATTTAGTAATTTTTCATTTGTAAATGTGGCATGTTGTTTTCTTGCCTGATGCAACAGGTTTTCTGATCCGGATGATGAGGTTGTTGTTTATGATCCCTCTGATCCTGACTGGAATCCAGAAGTCACTCCACGAAAGAAGAAAAGAACCGGTCTGTCTTCAATCTCACCATCTCCAGCAACATCTAGCAGAACTGATTCCCCTTCTTCTGTAAAAAGAAAGAAAGGGAAGGGTAGGGAAAGCAGTGTGAGTTCCATCTCAGAAGACAAGTGGAAAAGTGTAGATGAGCCTGACATTGAGCCGACTCAGCCAGTCTTCAGACCTAGACTAACACCCGGCGTACAGCTGGTCTCCAATGCATCATGCAGTCCTCTGCAGTATTTTGAGTTATTCTTTTCCAAATCTGTCATGCAGACAATTGTGAAAAACACAAATGCATACGGGGCCATGCGTCATGAAGGAAAGGAGAATCCATGGGAGGACATTTCAGTAAAAGACTTCAAGACATTTCTGGCAATGGTGATTTACATGGGTTTGCTGAAGTGCTTCTCACTGAGGGATTATTGGAAGAGGTCCGACATCTACAGTCTTCCATATCCTGCAAAAATCATGACTGGTAAAAACTTTCTTCGCATATGTGCGGCTCTCCATCTTAGTGACCACAAACTGGATGCAGAGAATGACGCAAAGAAGGGAACACCTGAATATGACCGCCTGTCTAGGATCAAACCGCTGTACCAGGACATTAGGGACGCATGCAGATCCTCTTTTCATCCCTTTCAGAACATCTCCATTGATGAAAGAATGGTGGCCTCAAAAGCTAGACATGGTCTCAAACAGTATATGAAAAACAAACCCACAAAATGGGGGTACAAACTCTTCGTACTGGCAGATTCCCTCTGTGGCTACACATGGGACTTCTTCATTTATGAGGGAAAAATGAATGTAGAGCAGAGCAAAGGCATTAGTTACGATTCGGTCATTAGCTTGGCAGACACAAGATTGTTGGGTTCTGGCTACAAGCTGTTTGTTGACAACTTTTACACCAGTCCCAAGCTCTTCAGAGACTTGCTCGCTAAGAAGATCTGGGCTTGTGGCACTGTTCGAGCGAACCGCATTGGCCACTCAAAGAAACAGGCTCCTCGTGGCAATATCCGCTGGTTTCGGGAAGACGACCTGCTGTTTGTTGAGTGGAAGGACAAGAGGGATGTGCTGATGTGCTCCACCTTTCACAAAGCCTTTAATGGAGACACCATAAAGAGGAATGTGAAAGGAGCCGATGGAGTTTGGGGCATTCAAGATTTCTCCGTTCCAGCCGCAGTGTTGGACTACAACAAGTTAGTAGACTTTAATCAGTGGTAATTATGCCTTTTAAATTACTTGTCTTTTAATAAATTTTACTCTCATTCCAGGCACATGGGAGGAGTGGATCTGTCTGATGCGCTTATTGGATATTACACAGTTCTACATAAAACAAGGAAGTGGTATCGGTCCTTTTTCTACCACTTTGTGGACATCGCTGTTGTAAATGCCTTCATTTTGCACCAGCAGATGGCCAAGATGAAAAAACAGACGCCTTTGACCCAGAAGGCCTTCCGGGAGGCTCTCGTTAGAGAGCTTGCAGGAACGGGCCCTGAATATGCCCCTGACCGACTGGCACCGGTTCGTTGTACTGGCTCCCACCTGGCCAAGTACCTCAGTGGAGATAGCACAACAGGAAGGCTGAGATGCAAAATGTGTCAAAGCAAAACTCCAATCAAGTGTGCGACTTGTGAGGTGGCTTTGTGCTTTGTTCCAAAGCGCGACTGTTACAATAAATGGCATAAATCTGGTCGCTCTGATGAGTCTGACACAGAGTAAAACTTAAAAAGCAAACTGTCCAAACTGCCATCCAAAACAAATCAAGGTATGAAAGCATTACCAAACACCAGAAATAGAAAGAAATGCAACATGAAACTAGTAAGCCATTGAAAATTACTTATGGCATTTGAGGCTTGTGGGTGTGTGTGTGTGGCGAATGAATGAAGGTGGCGAAGCGGTTGTTCAGGGACTTGATCTGGTCCTTCTCTTTAGTGCGCACCATCTGGATGTTGGGGTCGATATCCAGGTTGAAAGGCGCCAGAAGGCTCTTGTTGACGGAGACACTGGCCATTGGAGGACCCAAATACGCAGAGCTGGTACTGAAACTTGGAGCGGATGCTCCTAGCGAGATCCCACTTAAACTGCTGTAGCCGAAACCTCCCATCCTCACGAAGCTGCTGGAACTGATGCGTTTGTTTCTCAGACTCATCGTTGGGTTGTGACGAGAGAAACTGAACTGATGTTTCAGATGAGAACAGCTGGGCAGACCTGAGCACGACGGGTGTCTCTCTCTGTGCGGAGAGGCTGGGCTTTTAAAGTCCAACCAGGATGGGGTGGAGAGTCCCTATTGTGGGAAAACCTGTTTCAGATTGGACACACTGTTGGCTTTATCTGAGCTCCCGGATCGGCAGTGAACGCACACTCTCTCAGTTTCTCTTTCTTGCTGTCACTGTTCTCATATAGCATCTAAATGTTTAATGTGGCCCATGTCAACAACATTCCCGAAGTAACTGCATGCCCTAATAAACACATTTTCCAAAAAAGCAGCCCTAATTTTGTTTATTTCATGTATACTTTTTATTTAAACTGTTTCATATTTAACCAGAAATCGTGAACTTGTGTGCATAAGTTTCAGAAAGATGACATCTAGGGATTAGTCGCGATCTCCGAATAGTCGAAATGCGTGTGAAATTCGATCATAAATGGCTTTTTCAAGTATCGTTATATTTTCACGCAATTCCAATGTGTTCTACATGATTGGCGCCACGCCTATGGTCATAGATCGCGCATCAGGGTATTTTCCTTCGGCACAAGGTGTTGCTAACATGAATGAAACCCCCTACTGCGCAATCTACCTGCGTTTGTATACAGTGTAAACAAACAACAGAAGAAGAGTATTGTCGTGACCGTTAACTCAGTGACCAACCATGCAACAACCAAGAAGCTTCGTGTGGGTCTAGTTTAAAATAAGTGAACAATGATAAAGTTGAGTGTAAATTATGCCTAGACAAGCTGGCATCCCACCACTCAATAAGAACGATGCATAGCCACCTGAGATGAAAGCAACTGGCAGCAGCTTCATCCTCCTCAGGCAGCACCCAGCTAGTTTCTTGGGTAGACGTAATTGGATGCTAGACGCATTGCCATAGGTATTTGAGTGCAATTGTTAAAACATTGCAATGTTGAATGTTATACATTATCATATTAACATTTAACTGGTTCACCCTCTGGTACGCAGTGTGATATCAATGAGGAAAAATGTGTGGTGTTTTTCATGCTTAAAATTGAACACTAACAATATCAATTAACTTTTTTATTTTTTTTATTTATTTATTTTTTTTTTTTTTTCAAAAAAGTTTGTTGCTTCAAGGCAACGTCTTTCCACAATGGACAAATTGAAAAAATTGACATTTTCATGAAGAAAGAAATATATATTTATTGACCACGTCAATTTCTTTAACAAGACACATGAACAAACACATTTATCCATTTTTTAACTTAGAAAATGAAATTTTACAAAAATTTTAAAAAACATTTTATATTGAGCTGTTGCTCTCAGGCAACATTGTACCATCGTAGACAAAAAAAATATAACTATATTATCAAGTTGTCATATCAAGCTTGTCCATCTTCATCTTTGCTCTCACCCTCATCAACTGGAAGTTGTTGTTTTTTTTTTAAGTGCTTTAGAAAATGTGATATTATTGTAGGTGAATTACTATTCTTAAGTGCATTTCAAAATCATGGAAAAATACAAATATATTTAGATAATTCTAACTCATTTCCTTGCAAAGGTATGCCTGGAATGCCCTTATTATTTGGAATACCCTGTAAAACATTTGATGATATATAATGTAAAGTTCTTGAAAATACTTCTTTACTTAGTAGAGATGGTGCGTCGTATTTGTTATGTGGGTGATTAATGCACAATGCACTTTTCTTCTGAGCAAACACGGAGCCATGTGCTGAAACAGCCACAAAATTGACCCCTGTAAGTCATGTGACCACTTTTTTTTTATTTTTTTTTTTTTTTTTTTACACTTTTATTGATTAGTATTTGAGTTCTTCTCCCATTGAGTGTCTGGTTTTATTCAAAATAAACTAAAATAGACTATGCTGGCTGAAGAAAACACTGTACCACAGTGGGTTAAATTAAATTGCCATTATTGTTTGTTCGTTACACCCCGTCGCCACGATCTCTTCAGAGGACCACCCTCTGACTAATTTTTAAGTTTAATCTAGCTAATTATAATGACTATGGGGCTGATAACCCTCATACAGTAGGTGTTGCGTATAAAGGGAGGGACACTTTACGTACAAGTTCCCGCTGTCCGGCGCTTGACCAATGATAAACCAGCATATTAAGACGGACAAGTAAAGTAGCCAATGAGAGCGCGGTGACTCTCTCAGCGCGACCGTGTCTTTCTGCAGGAGATTTATTTTTCTGCTGCTGAATTGCGTTTTGCGGCGAGTGTTTATGAGAATGGATGTGATCGATGTGGTCATTAAAGACGAGTTTGGAGACGGTATCAAGGAGGAATATGACGATACAGTTGAAAATGGGGAATCATCCGGTTATAAAGTTGAACACGACGAGACGATTGAAGTGGGAGATTCCTCTCCCGAAAGTGACGCTTCCAGCGTGGATTCCAAAGGAGAGTTGCTCGATGACCTGGATCTCGTGTTGGACCAGTAAGTTAACACACTTTTTAAATTTGAGGTTTTCATATACAAGTAGACTACCTAATATTTAATCGAACTTTAGGACGTTTTCAAATCATTGATTGGAGCTAAATATTATATATAGGCTTGAGAGGCAGATTATAACATTTAACTCTTTAATTACCACCACCTATATGTTATAATGTAATTTGTATTTCTACATGTTAATTTGTATTAATTCTCTCTATGTAGTTAGTAGACATTAAGATGTCCTCATTGCATTTTTTTTATTCTAAACATAGATATTTATGATATTTACCTATGCTGCTAATGTAGTAACTTCAAGAAATACAGTTTTACGTTTGTACTCAAATATACTTATTTTAAGTATGTGCATATTAAAACATACCTGTAACTATATTAAAGCTCTTTATTTTGTATTTATTTAGAGGTGTTTTTTTTTTTGCTCACTGTGGCTTAGTAGAAATGGAATATGACAATTTAAAGACTTCCTTCCTCGCATATGTATGAAAATATACAACTATTAAATTTAATCTTATTTATTAATTTTTAATTTGTAAATGTGGCATGTTGTATTCTTGCCTGATGCAACAGGTTTTCATATCCGGAAGATGCTGATGCTGACTGGAATCCAGAAGTCACCCCACGAAAGAAGAGGAGAACCGGTCAGTCTTCAATCTCACCATCGCCAGCAACATCTAGCAGAACTGCTTCCCCTTCTTCTGGACAAAGAAAGAAAGGGAAGGGTAGGAAAAGCAGTGTGAGTTGATCCCTACCTTTTTCCATCCCAGTAGACAATTGGAAAAGTGCGGATGAGCCTGATATTGAGCCGACTCAGCCAATATTCCAACAGGACATCATGACTTTTGCGTAAACATACACGCCACTTTCTAAAGAAAAGTAAATGTGGAATTAAGTTATTAATAAGATCTATGAAGTCTATAATTTATCATGTAACTCTTTTTAGTTGACGTTGGGTTGCATTCTATTGTGACATCAACTAAAAAGATCTTGTAGGGAAGATATTGAAGATATTTTGAAATGAGGCTGTGCTTAACTAATGCTAAAAAAATAATTTGAGATATTATCAATGATCATGATTACTGCACCACAGCTGTGATTTACTAGTTCTAGGCCTATTGCTTGCTCCTAGCCCATACCTCACTATTTGATAACATATCATAATTAGATACCATAGCATAGAGACTCTTAATGGAAAATTTAATGTTTTCTGTTAGAAGCATTGACAAATACCCTGGACTGGCAACTCAAGTGCTGCCACTTGTTTTTGAGAGACCATAGTTCAGGTTGATTACAATCATAGAATCAAATACTTTTTATATATGACCCTGCCCTAGTAGAGACTAGAGGCATTGAAATTAATAATAAAAAAAAAAAAAAAATCACCGGGCCATAATCTATTATTTCTGTTTACAATTAAATGTATGCCTAAATAACATTTCTCTTTACATATTCTGTTAAGTTTTGCATATTCAAGAAGGCCCATGTGCTTAGTGCTGTAGTTTTATGTTTCCATTGTATTTTGTATTAGAGCACTGCAGAATGTTTTGTTTTTGAAGCTTGGAAAGCTATTAATTAAATATCCTACCTGACTTTAATAGAAAAATGTATTTGATGCATAGATATCGAATCGCTGACATGGTAATCGTAATAGAATTGGGAGATCAGTCGAGGTTCACACTTCTATTAGAGACCTATACAGGCAATCAAAGATGTTCTGACGTTAGCATACTCAATATCTGCAGAATTATTGGGCAATCGCTAAATTAATCATTTTTATTAATCTGTTCTTTTTCAGAAAAAGGCTCCGGGAAACACGCCGGCCAAAACGAGAGCTCAGAAGCGCCTCAACTCCTTTAAGAAGAGGAGTGCCGAGTGGGCAAAGGGGATGAGGCGCAACAGAAATGTCAGCCATTTTTTAGATGACATTGAGGTCACAGTAAGTAACTGTTTTTCTTGACCTTTTCTTTTTATTATGTAATATCAGCGTCAAACATGCTCTATATGGTGCGTTCACACCGGACGCGAATGATTTCAATGCAAAGACGCGTTACGCCTAGGGATGGGACGGTATGAAAATTTCATATCACGATTATAGTGTCCAAAATAATCGTGATTATCAATATTATCACGGTTTTGTTAAAAATTTATGAAAGTGCTCAAAAAGAACTGATGCTCACACTGAAAACATTTCAACAAGTTTTATAATTGAAAATCAACAAACAACAAATAAAACAAGCCTCTCTATGCAGTTTTTTTTAAGCAAGATTCTATTCTATGGCATTTGCTTCTTTATAATGCCCGTCGTCCATAGCAACACATTATTACACAGCGCACATCCATATCACAACGAACGCGCGCTCTCGTTTCATTCAAACACAACTTGCCGTCTTGCGTCTCCGGTTTTTGATTGTATTGCAAAAATGAAATCAGAGTTGATTTATTGCTTACAGAGTTTGATAATATTGGTGTGATGTATCTTGTCTGGACGATTGTTTTACAAAATGAATTCATAAACTGGTAAGATTTAAAACATTAGCTAATCTCATTATCAATTCAATATGTCCCCATAATTATGTGGTAAAAATAAAATTGGTTTAATACGTGATGTATCTATACTTTACTATCCCTTAAAATATCACTCTTAATAATAGTCTTGTTTGAAGTTGTTCGTTCGTCTTTGGCTCAAAGCCGTGTACTTGCTACGAACTTTTCTTCACGGAAGCTTCACGTCTATTTCAAATGAGTGACATAAAATGTTTCAACTCAAAACAACATTTCGTGCCCAATTGTTTCTCAGACGTAGTTTTGGTATTAAGGTCAAAGTTAACTTGCCTTGCGTTCGGGTGATGATCACACAAGACGACTCGGCATATTTGAAGTGTTTCTATTGCAGTGACTTTTTGTTCGGCAGACAGGGTGACCATCCTCAATCAAGTTTCCCTCAGGACTTTTGTAAAACCCAAAATATGACCACACCTCAGACTTCTCCTGAGCACGGTCACTGCCTTCCACCATTCCTTCTCGAAAAGTAATTAAAAAAAATATTGCGTGCTGCGCACCTGCGTCAGACTGGCCGACAGGATTCAGTGAGTTATTAAAATCGCGATAATCAAAGACTGTTTTAATGATAATTAAATTTTAAACGATAATACTAACAGTCAGTACATTTTATCACGGTTTATCGTGAAACCGGTTATCGTCCCATCCCTAGTTTACGCGCGTCAGGTTTTATTGTCAGACTACTCGCGTAGATTTTTCATCTATGACATGACAATGAATGATTCTTCACCTCTTTCAGATGGAGAAAATGAAGGCCCTTGGACTCAGACCCCTTTTATTTTATGGGGTCTATAATGATAAAACGTCAAAATACAACACAAAGTTCATCCACCCATACAGCATGTCAAATGAGACGGAAGCGATGCTGAAAAAAATGAACATGCTGTACAATGTTCTTTTACAAGGTATGGTTTGCTTGCCAACATTTATTTGACTTCACACTGAATCTGACTAAACCACCAGTGAGGTCGAAAAAGCAGTTTTTGAGCAATTGATCTTTGGTGCTGATATAATGCAAACTCATGGATATGAATATTGTTGAGTTATACAGTCATGCTCAGAATTAATGGTACCCCTGGTAAATATGATGAAAACTGGCTGTAAAAAAATAATTCTGCATTGTTTATCCTTTTGATCTTCCATTCAAAAAATTGGCAAAATTCTAACCTTTCATTGAAGCAAAAGAATTGAAAGTGGGGGTAAATCACACTATGAAATAAATGTTTTTCTCCAAAACACTCTGGCCATAATTATAATGGCACCCTGTTATTAAAAACTTTTTGCAACCTCAGATCTGTAAACTTTTGCCAAGAGAACAGATCTGAGTCTTCTCCTATAATGCCTGATGAGTTTGGAGAACACCTGACCAGAGATCAGAGACCATTCCTCCATACAGACTCTCTCCAGATCCTGCAGATTCCCAGATCCATGTTGGTGCTTCATCTCTTCAGTTCACTCCACTCATCAGGTCAGGGTCTGGGACGGTCATGGCAGAAGCTTCATTTTGTGCTCCGTAACTAATTTTTGTGTTGATTTTTGATTTTTGTTTTGGATCGTTGTCCTGATGGAAGATTTCTAGCAGAAGGCGTCAGGTTTTTATTTTTTATCTCTTTGTATTTGATAGAATCCATAATACCAAGTATCGGAACAAGATGTCCAGGACCTCCAGCAAATAAATAGGCCCACAACATACAAGATCCAGCAGTATATTTAACCGTAGGCATGGGGTACTCTTCATCCCTGTTTGCACCAAACACATCTGCTGGGTTTGCTGCCAAAAAGCCCCTTTTTTAGTTTCATCTGACTGTGCCGTTTGAAGATCCAGTCGTGTCTGACACCTGAATATGCTGGAGTTTGTTTTTGGATGAGCGAGGAGCATTTTTCTTAAAACCATCTCAAACAACATGTGGGAATGTAGGGGTTGACTGATATTTTTTTTTTAGGTTTTCTGACCCCAAGACTCAACTAATCTCTGCAATTCTCCATCTGTGATCCTTAAAGAGTCGTTGGACACTCAAACTTTCATCCTCACCGTCCATTAAGGCAAAATAGACACACGTCCTCTTCCTGGCAGAATCATAACGTCTTTAGTTGATTATAATTATTGTCCTGATGGTCAAAATGGGGATTTTCAATTCTTTAGCTATTTTCTTACATCCACTTTCTATTTTGTGAAGCTCAACAATCTTTTGATGCACATCAGAACCATATTCTTTGGTTTTATTCATTGTGATGGATGATTCAGGGAATTTGACCTTTGCGCTTCCTCATATTTAAACTCCTTGAAACAAGAAGTCATAGCTGGACAATTTCATGTTCCTAGTCACCCTGATTTGCTTAAAAAAATAAATAATAATGGGAATGTACTTCAGAGATATTTTTCTCATAAAAAATTCTAGGGGTCCCAACAATTATGGCCAGAGTGTTTTGGAGAAAAACATTTATTTCATAGTGTGATTTACCCCCACTTTCAATTCTTTTGCTTCAATGAAAGGTTGGAATTTTGCCAATTTTTTGAATGGAAGATCAAAAGGATAAACAATGCAGAATTATTTTTTACAGCCAGTTTTCATCATATTTACCAGGGGTGCCATTAATTCTGAGCACGACTGTAAATGTTTTTGCATAGTTAAGATTAACTTTATGTGTGACTATGATAGCATGGACTCCAGAGGATGAGGGCAGTAGGCGTGGAGAGAAGAGGAAGAGGAAGGGGACGAAAGGTAACGTGCACTTTTTCAACATACTTTTTTGTGAAAGGTATTGCTTGGAAATGTTGAACTTCTAATATATAACACAGGAAACCAGAGGCCTGAGTCAGGAGTGGAGAGGGCTGCTGCACATCTGAGGGGAGAGGAGAGAGCTGTCGAGCCTCCAATTTCAGTGGTAGGAATCAGTGATTATAAGTCCCAATTTGCACATGTATAGTATTAGGGCTGGGCGATATATCGAATATGTACGATGTATCGTTATATTTTTTGAAACGATATGGAATGAGGCAATACCGTTTATATCGATACAGTAGTTTGATATGAGCACATCTGAAAAATAGCGGAGGTTGCAGTGTGAGCTGCTGCAGTGAAAGTAGCTAGGCTACGTAGTACAATTTGTCCTAAACATGACACAAGCTTATATTAATTGCGTCAAATTCACTTTGATATAGTTAACAAGTTTAAGGCAGCTTGCCGCCCTGTCAAATGCTCTGACAGACACTGTTGCTGACTGACAGATATACTTGCGCTGTTTAATGCGTTTGAGATGTGGTGCTTTCCTCAGTGCTCAACTTACATTTCACATATTCTCCATCTGTAAATGTTAGAAAGTAACGCAAATATGTCCATTTCACAACAAATATGTCCATGTCAGAAGAGGACGAGCTTCTGGAAGTGAATCTCCGCTAAAATTCATGCTTCCTTGAACGAGCGCCGGCGCGCGCATGCGCGTGAATAGTACTACGTAGTACGCAATAATTCTGACTAAAATAAACATATTGCTAAAATTTGTTGAAAATAAATGTGCCCTATGTGGAATTTTAAACCTACAAGTATATATTTTTAATGAAAGTGAAAGTGATTATAATGGGGTAATCAAATGCAGGCTAATATAATTAGTTTGTGCTTTTGTTTTTGTTTTTATTTTCATTTTTAGTTTAGCTTTTAGTCAATATAAAAACAAAAGCTTTTTGCACATAATATATTGCATAGCCTATATTATATTTGTTTCCATATCCTTCAATATCAACATTGTTAGGATATCATTGGGCTGAATGTGAATATATATATATATATATATATATATATATTTAAATATAAAGATTTTCTTTATCTAAATAGAAAACGTAGAAAGTACCGAGATATATATCGTATATCGCCATTTGACCAAAAAATATCGAGATATGATTTTTTGGCCATATCGCCCAGCCCTATATAGTATGCAATAGTACATATAGTACTATGCGGGGGTTTTCAAATGTGAGTAAACACGGTTCCTTGTGCTTAAGTCGTATGTGTTAAATAAATTACTATAGAGTAAACGTCTTAACAGGTGTAAAGGAGTTAGGCAGTATAGTATAGTTGTGATTTTGCTGTAAACACACGTTTTATTGTTTATAGCTAGCTAACGGGGAGCTCCAGTAAGTACACGTAACGTTACGTTTCTAAAATTGTCAACACTGCTTACAATAGACAAATGTGCTATAAATAAGGCAAATAAACAAATCTATATTTGTCCCTTATTAGTGTAGATATATTGAGGAACATTTAAGTTGGATAAAAAGGGAGTTAACACATCAACCTCAGTATGTAAATGCAGTATTGAGCTCATAAATCACAGAGGTTATGTGAATCTTGTCAGGATGTTACAGGGACAGAGGAACATTCGTGTGTTTATCCGGTGAAGAGAGGCTCATGAGGCTGAATTCTGTCATCAATGGCTCTGAGTGAGTATACCACAGAAATGGATAACAAAATCAATTAAATCTTAAGTTTTAGTTTATTTGAATGATTGTAATTTCAAATGGAAAATGAGACCTGCCTCCATCTCTAAATCTCCATATAAAGATCATTGGTTTGTGTGCATCATAATAAGACTTCATAAAATTATATTTATACTCAGGAAAAAACAATAACAAGGCTAAATATCTTCATAATAGTGCTTCATAATACATAAACAAATGTTGCTATAAGTCTGAGGGATGAAACGAGGTAAATTCATCAAGAAAAAGAGGCAAACTTAAAAGGAGAAACTGGGTATAAAATAAAGAAATTAACAACATATTCAACGATTTTGGGGTTTCTTAATAAATAAATAGTTATAAGTCCCTAAATGTATCCCCTAAATCAACCCTAAATGTATTCACAAAATAAATGCGCAGCTGTTTCTTCAACAATACCACAACAAAATGAGCAAGTTTAATCAATATCAAGGTATTTATAGAGAGATAGATGAATTAAACGTATCGTTCATATATTTTAAGGTGTAGGTCACATGATAACGTCAACATGGCAGATGTCCGGTTCGCATTCATACTCAACGAAATTTTGTTGTAAAGTATCTACTCTTTTAGTGCTCGTTGAGTTAGTACTTATTGAGTATGCGCAGCCATTGTCATGCTTACTCATAGATCCAGCAATTAAATCTGATCGGAAATTGATCTGGTCCTTCTCTTTAGTGCGCACCATCTGGATGTTGGGGTCGATCTCCAGGTTGAGGGGCGCCAGAAGGCTCTTGTTGACGGAGACACTGGCCATTGGAGGCCCCAAATATGCCGAGCTGGTGCTGAAACTTGGAGCGGATGCTCCTAGCGAGATCCCACTTAAACTGCTGTAGCCGAAACCTCCCATCCTCACGGAGCTGCTGGAACTGATGCGTTTGTTTCTCAGACTCATCGTTGGGTTGTGACGAGAGAAACTGAACTGATGTTTCAGATGAGAACAGCTGGGCAGACCTGAGCACGACGGGTGTCTCTCTCTGTGCGGAGAGGCTGGGCTTTTAAAGTCCAACCAGGATGGGGTGGAGAGTCCCTATTGTGGGAAAACCTGTTTCAGATTGGACACAGTGTTGGCTTTATCTGAGCTCCCGGATCGGCAGTGAACACACACCCTCTCAGTTTCTCTTTCTTACTGTTACTGTTCTCATATAGCTTCTAAATGTTTAATGTGGCCCATGTCAGCAACAAGTAACTGCATGCCCTAATAAACGCATTTTCCAAAAAAAAAAAAAACAGCCATAATTTAATTTATTTCATGTCTATGTTTCATATTTAACCAGAAATCATGAACTTGTGTGCTTAAGTTTCAGAAAGATGACAACTAGGGATTAGTCGCGATCTTCGAATAGTCGAAATGCGCGTGAAATTCGATCATAAATAGCTTTTTTAAATATCGCTATAGTGATGGTCACATTTTCTCGGGATAATAATGCTTTCATATTGATATCAGCGCGCTTTTGACTACGGTTCGGAGCACAGAAGCTGTGGATGTAACATCAGGCAGCACCCAAAGTATTTCTGTGCGAGCAAAACCATGCTGTTCCAAGATATGTTGAGTGCACCACCAACTGGTAAGTCATTTGACCTGTTTTGTTGCCCATATAAATTGATTGAAAACTTTTGCTCTCCTTATTGTTTTGACTTACAGATATTTGAATCTCATTGTCAAAACAATGTTTTTATGTGTGGCTTTAAATGCTGTAAATTATCTTGTTAACTTTTAGCTGTCAAATGTGTCTCCGATGTCTGATGCTATTGCATTTTGTTTCATTTTGCTAAAAAAAAAAAAATGGACTGGAAAGACACATTTGCTTTTTTTTAGAAAGAAATTTGGAAATTTTGCATTTAACTGGTTAACCTTCTGGTGCGCAGTGTGATCAATGAGGAAAAATGTGTGTGTGGTGTTTTTCATGATTAAAATTGAACACTAACAATATCAATATAATTTTTTTTTTGCTTCAAGGCAACATTTTTTTCACAACGGACAATTTGAATTATTTGACTTTTTCATGTAGAAAAAAAATATATATATTGAAAACATCAATTTCTTTAACAAGATGTATATATAAAGAAACACATTTTATTCAGTTTTTAACTTATTACAAATTTCATTTTATATTTATTTAAAAGTAAAAACATTTTATATTGAGCTGTTGCTCATCGTACTATCGTAGACAAAAAAAATATACCTATATTATTATATCATCAAGTTATAATATTTAAGGTGCTTTAGAAAATGTGCAGATCATAATATGTGCAGATATTGTATGTGAATTACTATTCTTAAGTGCATTACAAAATCGTGCAAAAATACAAATATTTTTAGATTATAATTCTAACTCCTTTCCTTGCAAAGGTATGCCTGGAATGCCCTTATTATTTATGGTGCAATGTTGCCTTGAGGCAATACAATTTTTTTCTGTTATGCCCTATACAACATTTGATGATATATATAATGTAAAGTTCTTGAAAATTCTTCTTTACTTAGTAGATAAGGTGACTGGTATTTGTTATGAGGGTGATTAATGCACTTTTCATCTGAGCACACACGGAGCCATGTGCTGAAACAGCCACAAAATGGACCCTAAAGGTAAGTCATGTGACCACTTTTTTTTTTTTACACTTTTATTGATTGGTATTTGAGTTCTTCTCCCCTGAGATTTGGGTGTCTCGTTTTATTTAAAATAAACTAAAATAAACTATGTTGGCTGAATGAAACACTGTACCACAGTGGGTTAAATTAAAAGCATGTTGAGTCTTTTAATTGTAGTTTTTTAAACTTTTGTTGCTTATTACTGTAGTTAGTGCGTCTGCCGCTCTAATTTACATTAAATCCATCTTTAACAATGCCATTATTGTTTGTTCGTCACACCCCGTCGCCACTATCTCTTGACGCCTATGCTTGAGAGGACCACCCACTGACTAGTTTTTAAGTTTAATCTAGCTAATTATAATGACTATGGGGCTGATAACCCTCAGTAGGTGTTGCGTATAAGGGGAGGGACACTTTTCGTCCAAGTTCCCGCTGTCTGGCGTTTGACCAATGATAAACCAGCATATTAAGACGGACAAGTAAAGTAGCCAATGAGAGCGCGGTGACTCTCTCAGCGCGACCCTGTGTTTCTGCAGGAGATTTATTTTTCTGCTGCTGAATTGCGTTTGCGGCGAGTGTTTATGAGAATGGATGCAACATTAAAGATTAAGGAAGAGTTTGGAGACGGTATCAAGGAGGAATATGATGATACAGTTGAAAATGGGAAATCGTCCGGTAATGAAAACAAACTTGAGACGATTGAATTGGAGGATTCTTCTACCGAAAGTGACGCTTCCAGCGTGGATTCCAAAGAAGAGTTGCAGGATGACCTGGATCTCGTGTTGGACCAGTAAGTTTACACGCTTTTTATATAGATTTTATAATCGATTTTTTTGGAAGTTTTCAAATAATTTGATTCGAGTTAAATAATATGGCTTGAGGGGCATGGTTTATATGAACATTTAATTCTTTAACAGTGTTGGGAGTAACGCATTACAGTAATACATGTACTTGCATGTATTACATGTACAAGTACTTACATGTACAGTTTGCTGTAACGCAGTAGTGTAAGGCATTACTAATCAATTTTCAGTAATATTTTACTCGTTACATGTTCAGTGAGGCTTGTATTACAGTTGTATTACAGTGTATTGTCTGCTTTTACTTCTTAAAGGCAATAGACTATGTGAAAGTTTTAAAGCAGTCTTTTAGTGCCAGTTCAGAGCGGTCGCGTCTGTAACATTGTTTTTTCCTCATAAATGCGAACACGAAAACTAAAATAAAATGAATATTTTAAGTTCTATGGAGACTGGAGAGCCAAGCCTTCCTCATCCGATTTGCGCAGTGTAATTAACAGAATTACAAAAAATATATTTTGCCTCCTATTTTTTTGTCACGCATGAATGTGTGTCTTTTTCCTAATATTAAAACATAAAACATAGACTGATATTTGTCTAATGTCTGGAGTCCTTTAAGGAAGTAGCCAATTTTCAATACATGTATTTTCTGAGAATTTTTATTTCAAGTTTTGACTGCAAATGTCATGTCCATAATACTGGACTTCCCCAATTTTAAATAATTTATCCTCAACTAGTTTTGTGGTGTAGGTCCACGTATTTTATAATGTTAACTTCAAATAATACTAATAGCCTAATTTAAAGATAAGGCAGCAGTGGATATGGACGGTAAGGAGAATAACGCTGGAGTTGGAAGAGGTGTGTCGCGATTCTGTAGGTTCGTGGATCTGAGTCGTGTGGCGAATCGCGATTTCGGTTTCATATTGCATATCGTTACAGCCCAAAAGTTAAGTTCTACTTAGTTATTTTGGTGAAAGTAACTCAAAAGTAATACATGAGTAATGTAACGCATTACAATTCTGGGACAGTAATATTGTAAGGTAAGGTAATGAATTACTTTTAAATAACAGTAACAAGTAATACCTAATGTATTACAGTTTGGAAGTAACTTGCACAACTCTGTTCTTTAATGACCACCTCCTATGTTTCAATTTTTACAACAACAGTTATGGACGAGATATGTCTAAATTAGTGAAAGGAAATTAAAAATAAATACAATTGAAATAAATGTATTTTTAGTTTTTATTAAATCACTTAATGTAGTGACTAGACATTATGCTACCTTCATAGACTGCAGTGCATTTTTTTATTGCATACATACCCAGATAGCACAAGCCTATTTGATCTTATGTTTACATCTGGAATACGTATTTTTAAGAGTGTTTGCTCATCTGAAATACGCCTATAGGACGTTTCCTGTCAGATATCAAATAGACGTTTAAAAGATGTCAGTTTAACATGCTTTCTAAATCATTACATCTTGAAGACATCTAAGCGTCTATTTGAAATCTGACAGGAAACGTCCTATAGACATATTGCAGATGAGCAAACACTTAAAAATACGTCTTCCAGAGGTAAACATCTCATCAAATAGACTTGTGCTATCTGGGTAGAGTATAAAATTTATGTTGTTAATGTTGAAGCTTAAATGTACATGTTTTACATTTGTACTCAATCATTTTCAGTATTAAAAACGTATGCCTGTCACTATATTACAGCTCTTTATTTTGTATATCTTTAGGTAATTTTAGTAGATGGCTCACGGTGGCATACTGAAATATGATCATTTAAACACGAATGTAGTTAATGTTAAAGACTTTTTTTTAGCAATAAAGGTTTAAAGATTAATACAAAAAGTTTCATTTTATTTTATTAAATTTATTTTATTTATTATTCAACAGGTTTTCAGATGATGATGATGGTTATGATGATGGTGATGATGCTGACTGGAATCCAGAAGTCACTCCACGAAAGAAGAGGAGAACCAGTCTGTCTTCAATCTCACCATCACCAGCAAAGTCTAGCAGAACTGCTTCCCCTTCTTCTGTACAAAGTAAGAAAGGGAAGGGTAGGAAAAGCAGTGTGAGTCGGTCTCTACCTTTTTCCATCTCAGAAGACAAGTGGAAAAGTGTAGATGAGCCTGATATTGAGCCGACTCAGCCACACTTCAGACCTAGACTAACACCCGGCGTACAGCTGGTCTCCAATGCATCATGCAGTCCTCTGCAGTATTTTGAGTTATTCTTTTCCAAATCTGTCATACGGACAATTCTAGAAAACTCAAATGCATACGGGGCCATGCGTCATAAAGAAAAGAAGCCATGGCAGGACATTTCAGTAAAAGACTTCAAGACATATCTGGCAATGGTGATTTACATGGGTTTGCTGAAGTGCTTCTCACTGAAGGATTATTGGAAGAGGTCCGACATCTACAGTCTTCCATATCCTGCAAAAATCATGTCTGGTAGAACATTTTTTCGCATGTGTGCGGCTCTCCATGTTAGTGACCCCAAACTGGATGCAGAGAATGACGCAAAGAAAGGAACACCTGAATATGACCGCCTGTGTAGGATCAAACCGCTGTACCAGGACATTAGGGACGCATGCAGATCCTCTTTTCATCCCTTTCAGAACATCTCCATTGATGAAAGAATGGTGGCCTCAAAAGCTAGACATGGTCTCAAACAGTATATGAAAAACAAACCTACAAAATGGGGGTACAAACTCTTCGTACTGGCAGATTCCCTCTGTGGCTACACATGGGACTTCTTCATTTATGAGGGAAAAATGAATGTAGAGCAGAGCAAAGGCATTAGTTATGATGCTGTCATTAGCTTGGCAAA